AACTGTGGAAACACTGAAATCTACAACCAATGACAAACGCATACCAACCATCATGTATGTTGAATTGAAATATTGCAGCAACATACTTATTCTTTTTTTTCTGGTTTGGTTTGCGTTTCCTCTCTCTCTCTCTCACACACAGTGAATATGTTTGTGTGCATCTCCTCTCTGCCTTTACTCAGTTCATCACATGTTGTACTGCAGTCTTGTTATTACAGTTAAGGGAGGATTTAAGATAGCTTTTTTTTTATGAAAAGGATTTCCCTGTTTGTACAAATCTTGCAGAATCAGTTGAGAATGAGATGTATAACCCTTAACTGACGGGCCCTGCTGTAACACTAGAACCGCCAGGGGTCGCTGTATACCTACAACCGCCAACGGGTAAAATGTACCCGCTATTAGAATGCATTGATTTTCAAGGTACAATGTTCTTTTATTTATCATACTAGAACACAGGGTTAACAGTGAGTTTTGATCGATCTATCTATAAGGAACCGCAGTAAACAACAGGCATTGCTATAGCAACACGTCATGTTTATGCTTTCGCGCAAGATCAATAGCACGAAAATCACTGCATTTTATATAAGGTCAATATTACCCGCTGGCGCTGATGGGTATAAATGGCAATTTTTTCAATCTGACTTCATATTGACAATTGTTAACAACAGAGGGTGCTACATAACACACTTTCAGGAAAAGTGACAGACTGGGAGATTTGAATATTTTATTGAAAAAAAGTTACATACAATCAAGAAACAGCTGCAGGTAAAATGTACCCGTTGGCGGTTCTAGGGTTAAGGTCCATTTGAACTTGATCTGGAGCTACTGGTTGACATGCATGAAGTGTACGTTTAATCCTCATGTCATTACTACAGTAACCACTTGATAGCACTGTCACCATTTTACCTGGAGTACAGGTATACAGTGAGTGAAGTTCCACCTTACCTTAGAGATTAGATAAAGTCCCACTACAATGATCCTTATCTGGAAATTGGGTCAACGCAGTAACAGATACTAGGATATACAGTAGATGGAGTAAAAACCAATACAAATGGTGTCTATTATTAACCTGACTAGATCATCGGAGTTTTTTCCTCATGCATTCGCAAAAGATTTGCAAGGCATCGTGGCTACATTTATGCAGCTGGGTGGATCTTCTTTTAAACCACTAACAAACCATTTTCTCTAAGAATACAAACAACTGTAAACAAGCCAAGCCCCACTAACATTAGCAGAAACCTGCCCTGCTCTTTCTGGAAATGTTTGCTGAACGGGAGCAGGCAGAACAGGCGCAATGACCAACCAGGGGTTTGGCAGTTTCACAGCAAATGTCAGCGCTGGACTCAAAATGACTCGGTAATCAGAGGGTTTGGAGAGTAAACAAAGGAGGAGGAAAGGAAACCAGGAAATGATAGAGTGAGTCTATGAATTACTCAGCAGACATGTCTCTCCCTCCTTACTCGCTGCAGGAGATAATGGGGATCATCTATCTTCTTGCCCTCCTTTACGCCCAATCTTTTGACCGTTCATCTGCATCCAGATCGGCTGAAAAATGCCTTCTCCAAGAACCATGGTGTTCAGAGTTTTGTACGATTCCAGTATAACAGGATTTTGGGAAGAGCCAAATGATAAATGGAATGGATTGCTCCTTTACCGAACGCTTTTCTATCGTACCAGACAAAGGGCTAGCTCCTCATTCTCCCACATTCAAACACTGATGGTGGAGGAGCTGCCATGCAAGGACACAACTATTCCTCCTGAGACAAAGCCACCCCAACCTGTATTACAAAGCGGACTTACCAAGCTGGCTGGATAGTTGCACTGATGCAAGGCCCTTAAAAAACACATTTACACAGAACATTGATATGATTCATACGTATTGCACCCAGGAGAGTAAATATGTTACTACAGCCATCTGTTAGATAGCTAAGCTTATAGCACAAAGATTATAGAAACAGCTAGCCTAGCTCTAAACAAATACCTCGATATGTAACCAGTCCCTAATATCACTAATTCATATGTTATATTGTGTTTGTTTAATCCTCACAAAAAAAAAACTGTTAAAAGAAGAAAGCAAGCACACATATTTCCAATAATGCCCAACTATTATTTGAATAAGTTATACAAAAGGGTGTTTTTTCTTTTTTCCCCCACTTAGTTCTTCAAGGTTTAACTCAGCGAAGGTATCCAGATTACAAAGAAAGGCTAAAAGAGGGAGACCCCAATTCTACGGAGTTAAGTACTTACCTAGAACTACATTGAATTAAACGAGCAGCATTCAGTGACGTTGTAAACCAAAATTGGAAATGCTCACCCAAATTGACAATTTTAACAACTACATCAACACACCCGAGGACTACATCAACACACCCAAGTGAAATAATGTAAACATTTAGGACACCTGTTCACTGAGAAATAAAAACGGAAATTTAAAAGGATCTTAAAGAAAACACCATCTATTATGACCCAAATAAGAGTGAGCGTATTGTTTATTTCCAACATCAGCAGGCCTAAACTGCTGACAGTGGAATATCATCTAGCTGAGCTGCTGGATTGTGTCATGTTATTCCAATGGCTGCTGCTACTAGCTTAAGCACACACACACACACACACACACACACACACACACACACACACACACACACACACACACACACACACACACACACACACACACACACACACACCACGCTTGACTCTAAATCGCTATGAGCGTTGCTCATTGAGAAGGATAGAAAACCTGCAGGTTTCTCAGGCTCTCATCTCCTTCCAATAAAACAAGCCGTCTATTCTTTCCCGAGACAGGATGTAACGGGGAGGCAACCGAAGGGCAAGGTGAAGAGTTCACGGCGGTGTAAAGAAAAAGGATTTGAGAGTGAAAAAATAGAAAGACATTTACTCTTTGATCAGAGGAAATATGGAGGTGAGGAGTCATGGAAGGCAGTGAAACGGAGAGAAAACAGAGTGTGTCAGTGAAAGAAAAGCCAGAAAGAGAAACAGAAGGCAACAGAGTCAGGGAGATACTGCTATCAGAGCTCCAACACGGCAGGATGTGACATGTGGAGAGCAGGAAGAGGAAACTGGACAGATATAGATTCATTTGGTAACCGCTCCTGAAAACATGTCTCTCCCATTAGGGGCTTCGGTGGGAGTTAATGTGCTTATCAAAGTGTGCCTATTCCTAACCCCTGTGGTGCCTCTGCACACAGCTCACACAGAGAAAGACCTGCTCAATGCAGAATGTATCAATGTGTTTTCTATTATTTCAAGTTCTAGGACTACACTTATTAGCTTGTGGAGTGAACATTTTCTCCAGAGTTATGGGTCACGCCCTAGGGTCAAATCTCAAAATCGAATTAGACTCAATGTAGGTCATTAATAATAAGTATGACTTACCACAGCTTAGCTAATTTGACTATGTTATAACGGCTCAAAAAAGGCTGCAGTTAAACAATGGGTCTCACAAGCGCTTTGAACACCAGGAAAAGCACTATATAAATGACATTATTATTATTATTATTATTATCACTTACTAAGCTGAAAAGAATAGGGGAGCTTTATGAAAATACTCCTGTGCAGGGTACTGAAACTCCAAAAGATTTCAAGACAGCGGGGGAACGAGCCTAGCTTCATCTATTATGTGTAGTGCTGAGTCACTACAATTTGACGTAAGGTCCTTCTAGCACCACATACGACCCAACAAAAGAGTTTCAGTCAAATTCTTCCGATTTTATTTGACAGGTGGTACAAATATGGGAAATCATTTGTTTCATTAGTGACAGTGACATTTGTTCTTTAGGACAAATATCAAGGAAATAGATTAGGTAGCGTAATAAATCATATCAGGTGACATTTTTTTCAGGACTTTGTACAGGCACACGCTATGATCTTTCTGTTTATCTTTAAACAGGTGCATATGATAGAATATCAAACAGACCTGTTCTTAAATAAATAAGTATAGAAAGTATAACCATATCCAGTACTGTACAGTTTGTTAAGAATAGATGCATCCTTTTGGTTGGCTTTGGATTGAGAGAGAAACTGATTAACAAAAAAAGGAAAACAAATGGAATCAGATGAAATACTTATGGTTGAATTTAAAACCCAAAAAGTTTTAGACAGTTTCACAACCAAACTGAAGGGCTAATGTTTGGTAGGAACTAAATAAATTGTAATAGATGCAAGATCTAGAGATCTCAATGTTCAAAAGCTTGTCTTTTTCTTGGTACTTATGTTTATGAAATCACACGTGGAAGGTAACAACAACAGGCATAAGCAAGAATGAACCCGGACACATGAGCACAACACATGGATACACAAACAAGTATAGGCTACATTCATGGAAAAAACGTAAGGTTCCTAACTTCCTAATAATGTTTCAAATTAAAACCTGAAGCCTATGGTATAAGAAATGGAAGGTCAGTTTGAACTGTTTCAGAGAAAGACACTTTTATAAAGCGGATCTCTGGTCAGATAACAAGAAATGTCGTTTTATCAAAATGTGCATTGGTATTAGTTCTTAACTTTATTTTTCCATAAAACATGTTAAGGGAGAATCCTAGATTATGCTTATGTCAAGAACAAATCACATAGCAGCAGCATGGGTGTGTCAGCTCAGCTGTTAACGTTGAGGCAGATAGCCATCTGCTCCAGCATGGTATTTGGATATCTAAAATGTCACAAGAGGTGAAACTAAACAGATGAACCTAGCACAAGTTTAGTTTAATTTAGCAACCCCATGTGCTGCATTGGTTAACAGTCTGTCATGAGGAGAAAACTACAGCAGAAGTTCAGTTTCAGCCTGAGGGAGAGTGGGAGTAGCTGAGGGGCTTCTGTGATGCTGGCATGCATTCAAACATGAGCCACAAAGTCAAGATAAAGGGTGGTGGTTATGAGCGCTGTCATGTGCATGGAGAATGTTTAAAGCCCCCCTTTCAAGGTGAAAAACCACATGTTTCGGTCTCACGGTGCGGTAGTTTATGTCAATGTTGTCAACTTACCTTCAGAGAGCTCCAGCTCCAGCTCCGCCAGCTTCTCCCGGACCTCCGCGGGCAGGGTCATAGCGACAGCCGGCGTGGGCTCCAACATCATCGTTAGCAACCCGGAGGAGGTTCTCTCAGCCATGGTAAGAAACACGGATAGGTCCACAGTCGCCGGTGAGTAGGACAACCAGAAATAAAAAATAAAATAAAACCAACAACCCCTCCTCACTTGGTTTCAGCGAAGGAGGGCAAACAGGGTGTTGGTGCTCGTCTCACTGCAACGTCGTACAGATGTGTGAGAAATCTCTCCAGCCGTCATGACACGGCTAGCGATGAGGCTAGCAGACACACCTGGCTGTGTGTTTCCATGTAGTGTGCTACCACGGGGTCCTGCCAGTGTCTCCGTGCCTGCTGTCTGTTCCTCGGCACCGGCGGTGTCCTGTCTGACTGTCCGCGGCTGCTTCACTTCAACTGTGGAGGGAACTCATTCAACTCCTCGCTTGCTTCCCACGGCGCAGTCGCCATTAACAGCAGCCCCGGCCGTGCGCGTTCACGAGCCCTGCTCCTCTGTTTGTTTCCTGATGTTCTTCAAACAACGTGCCTGCCTCCTGCTGACACAAGCACAGTGCTGCTTGGCACCGAATAATGTTCTATTGAACATTTCAGGTGTTTTTTTGCATTTGATCATTCACACAAGAATGTTAAGGTTGAATACATTATACTGTTTTATGACATTATTAGCTATGTTTATAGGCTACTGTATATAAAAAACGAAAAACGATCAATACAACATTTTAATCATATCATTGTTACAGTAAGCACTATACTTCACATTTACAATAGGTTTCATTTTGAGACAACTAACCTCAGTAGCCGGTTGTAACAATGGAACTACATTTTTTAAACATTGCTTTCTGTAATAGACAAATAATGGTACTTTATGTCAGTATTTGTGATAATAAAAATACATTTATAAAAGCAGTTTAGCCACATGGTACACAACATAGTACTCAAAAGTCCATGTTTCTATCTCTATACATAGATTATGTATTTACAAATAGAAATAGGCAAACTTTTCTGAACAGTATATCATTGTCAGCAAGAACCCACAAGGATTTTAAAAGGTGGAAGTCCTTAGTGATATTAGTGCAAGTCAAGTGCATTAACTGAAAAATCAATGTCAGTTTAAGAGTTCAAAAAGAGACATTTCCAGATTATTTACATAAAATATATTTTAAAGTGACAATATCAAAGTCTTTGACATAAAATCAGTTATTAAAATCATCCGTAATGTCATTTTTGAATTAAACAAACTACCAAATACATTTAATATTAATGTTGTGATTACTGTAGGTCGTTACATTTTGGAAAGGGAAAGATTTCAATTCAAATGTTTTGTTTGGGGTCTGGGTAAGGGTTGACACCTATAAGTCAAGAAGTAATAAAGATTTATCAAGACAACGTTTTTTTTTATTATATTTTTTAATAATATTGTAGCAAACTTAAACATTGGTATAAAAATAAATCCAGACCTTATGTAGATCCTTTGGTGACAAATAAGCAAAATCTAAAAACAAATTGAAGGTAATGCATTTAACTGAGATACACAATTTGAGGTATAGTTTCAATCTATATGTTTGTGTTTATGTACTCTCTTGATTAAAAGTACACTAAAATAGGAAATTATGTGAGTAGCCCAGAGTTAACCTAGAAAAGGAATTAATGGAGCAAAATAGATAGATAGCGTTAACTTAATTTAACTATAGACTGTATTTTCACATTACTCCGGAGGCCTAACAAAGTAACAATAATATAATATGATAAGAAACTACAATTTGGTTTTAGCTGCTTCAAGAAAACTAAATAAGTTAAATATGATTACATATACAGTAATAAAACATATAAATATGTCTTGTGAGTACATTAGCATGTATGTTATGAAACTATAAAATAAAACAATTTAAAAATAAATAAAATAGAAAAACAAACTACTTCCTTCAACCAGTAGGTGTCACTCTATACACAGTCAAAAGTAATACAAATAAGGTTCTTCCCTGGCAAGGAATATGTTATATCTACTTGTGGCAGACAGTGTTTAGTGAAAGTGAGCATGATGCATCATCTATTGTAAGTAAAGATCTTTCCTTAAAGTATAATTTAGATCGATGTGGTAGTTTGCTCCAGGATTCCTTGAGTTATGTTCAAAGATGGCGCCATTCACCTCGGTATGAACATCAACCAGATGTGTTTTCCTATCAAAACAAAAACACATGTTGAGTCTATTATATGAAACCTATCTGAGCAGCAGCTGAATGTATTGTTAAGTGTTTTACCTGCTTTGAGCTTTGTGTAAGGCGTCTGTCAGAGCCTTCAGGTAAATGGAGCGATGTTGTCCTTGCTCCAGTTCAGACTCGTCCGTCCAGCAGTGACTCCAGAACACATCTGCACCTGTCGGGATGATTTCACATCTGGCAGGCCGATCATGCCCATCCGTCTCCAGATCCTCATCTCGGTGCTGCATCCTGGCAAGTGGCACAAACTCTGGGACGCTGTACCTCTGGATGAAGAAGAGTTTGGGCTTGCCAGCCAGCATGGGACACGAATCAGCAGTGAAAAGACGTCTGACATTCTCCAGAAGTAGACCTGTGCCGTATGTGTCTGTACCCATGAGATTGTTCGAAGTACCACGGCTGATGATGCAGCAGACAAAGCCATCGCCTTCAAAGTTCGGTCTGAGTATCCCTCTGAGAGCAGTAAGCGTGTCAGCCACACTCAGCCATTTGTAGAGGGCCACTTTGAAGTGAAGAGCCCTAAATGTCTGTTCCAACATGTCTGGAAAGGTGAAAGCAGAATTTAACTTTAACATACTAATAAGTCACTGAAAAGATCAATGAAATAATGCCATTAGAATCGATGATATTTTAACAGAAGATATTCAGTTTACTATTGCATGAGACGACACTCAAACCTCTCACATGGCTTAATTTAAGTATTTTTTATGCCAATAACTAAGCAGACAGAGATACAGTAAAAGTATCAAATATTTCATTAAAAAAAAATACAGACAAAAAGTCCAAACTAAAAACAAATGTGTGTAGCAGAACAGTTGATCTTCTTTCCTCTCCCATTAATCATTGCATGACCCCTTAGCTTTATCATGTGGGGCTTTTGGAAGGGGCCACTGGACTGAACACTATCTCCACCTCAACCAGCTACAGCATTGTAATGCTGCTTACACGTTGATGCATGGATGCTCTTAATGTATTTATTTTTTGTAAAGCACTTTGAATTGCCTTGTGTTGAAAGGTGCTATATAAATAAACTTGGCATGGCATGCCTTACTTTGACACTTTCGGTACATTTAGGTGGCGCTACTTTGGTAGCTTTACTCAAGTAGAATTTTAAGGCCTTTCATTTAATCAAGTGTTTAAAAAATGATAGTGCCACCTGTACTTAAGTAATGGATATGAATATTTATTCCAGCACTAGACTGTAGGTATGAAGGTTTTTGTTTCTCACCTCCGTCATTACCCACGCAGTCTATGATAACACAAAGTCCTCTGGGATTTGTGTTGAATTTGTACAAATCTAGATGACTCTAGAATGCAAAGGAGCAAGCAAACATGTTTTACAAATGCACTTTACTAATTAAACACATATAGGGGAAAACTGCATCAATAGTGAGGAAATATCTTACCTGGCTGTTCTGCTCTCTGTATACGGGCACTGGTATGCTTCCTGAGGCTGATGACAAAGAGTAATATGGTGTTTTTAATATCAAAGTGAAATATGATGAGCGACCTGGGGCTTTGCAGTTGCTTCTATAGTGATTAGAGCCCCACTTGTGTGCTCCATAGCTTTAAAATGGGTATTTTTCACTTATTGTATCTCTGGTAAAAACATTTATTTGGAAGTTGCTCTGATTGCTAACATGCATGTCTTACCAACGTGGAGGGGCTCTCGTGGTCTTGTTTGCTGCACAGAACTAATTGGAGCAGGGAATCGATACTGAAGAGAAAAAAAATCCAAAGTATTTGTTTTATAAAAGATACAAAAGTGAATGTTGAATAACTTTTGTACACTACTTACAGGTGCTCTGGGCCTTTGCTGTGGCTGCTGATAGGAGTTTCCCTCAGTTGTCACAACTGCGAAAAGGGAACATGGATTGAAATACAAGTGAATACAGTCATAAAGTTTAACGTTCTCCTTCGATAGGAATCTACCGTTAAATGAAAACGTATGACATGGGGTTTGTTTAATAGAGTGTCTGAAAATGATTTAAAATTCAATCTGCCTAAAAGAAAAGGGATCTGGGTGTCAAACTTAAGTATCTTAAAAGTACGTCTGTGCTGGTGTTAATTAATGAGCTCGGCTATGTCAGTTATGAGAGTTCAATGAAACAGAAGCTAAATGCACTTTGTTTTATACTATACATTATATCACAATCTTGGGGTAAAGACCGCTTTTTGTTGGAACATGATGAAATACATCTGTATTGGCCAAGTACAGCAGTTATGCTGAGAAAAAAAAGGAATAGGTTAAATAGGCTTCACATTTCTGTTATGTTTCTGTGCAACACGTCTGGTTTACTTCCTTTTTTTGTGGTTCTTTGAAGTGTACTTTAAGAATAGTTCCTTTTCCATTGATAAAGGCGTCATGGACCATTTCAGTGGTACCAGATACACACACACAAAACAATAATTTTAAGTTCCCATTTCATGAAAAGTCAGACAGTAAGATAGTCACCTGACATCTTGTATGCAGACACTTTTTTGGCAAGGTCGACCCTGCCAATGTCTCTTAAACATTTCTCTAAAGAGTCAACTCTTTCTGGTGAAACTATATCCAGCTTCTCAAGTTCAATGATCACCTCCAGGAAACTCTGTCTCAGAAGGGAGAGAGAAGAGAAAGTTAAAACACCTTTGGTATGCAGCTGATGTTTTTGGGTCACTTGAAAGCACGCCAAACTCCCCTCTTACACCCACACGAATGGGAAATTCAGAAACTGAAAACAAAAAAAGGTCACTTCATTTTTTTTACCGTTGCTTTTTCCATGTTCTCACGGGGTATCGTGCTGCTTAACAAGAATTTCACATTGGACAGATCTTCAGCGGCCATGTCCTCATTAATATTAGCCATCAATACTCTGCAGTAAAGGAAACCATGATTACTTTAGGTAGCACACCTTGGGTTATCAGAATCAGAATCAGAATACCTTCGTACCACAGAGGGGAAATGTACATGTGTTACATCAAGTAAAGATATAAGATGGAACTGTATTTATCCCTGTGGGGAAATGCAGGTGTTTATAGCAGCAACAGGGTCAGAGTGAAAAATAGGATTTACACAAGGTTAAACATAGAAATAAAATAGAATACAATATAAAATAATTATACAAAAAGTGATATATTCAAAAGAGCCAAAGATAGCTTAATACAGTATTAATTAAGAAGTATGCATAACCATTGGATTGTTAAAATATGTAAGACCTCTTATGCTTACAACACATCTTACCTGAATTTTGGCAGGACCTGCACATGTTTCAAAGACACCTCCACCTCCTCCCTGCTGGTTTTATACACATTTTTCAGGATATCAAAACGTCTCAATTGCCACATCAGCGCCAGGACCAACAGGACTCCCCTCTCATTGGACATCACTTTAGATTTCAGCATCTCCTTCATACAAGCCACACTATTGTCCGTGTCCAGGACATCACACAGGTAAAACAGCCTCCTACGCTCATAGCTGCTGAGCGCCTCCGCTGTCTGGTTAATAGCCTGAAGCTGAATGTGGTCCGGGAAAGCCATGAACTGTGCTAAAAGAAAAATTACAGCTGGTGACACACTGATCAACAGATAGCGAGTTGCCAACCGAGCGAGTTTTTGTAATTAAATATAACAACAGAAATGATAATTGAAACAACCTACCTTACTGCGTGCAATGAAAAAGGAGGAATAAACTAAAGTAAGAAGTACACTATTAGGCGTTTGATTTCGCAAAGGAAATATGACGCACTACTAAAGTATCACTTCTGGGAAAGTACCTCTATTCTGTGTAGGCTGAACACAAATTCCTTGAATCGTGAACGCCGAGTTGCTAAAAATATCGATTGCACTGCACTCTTGATCACACAAAAAACGGTTTAAGTAAGTTAAGTTAATAAGTTTGCCAAAAATACTTGTGCTAATTCTTTATAAAACTGCACAAAAGATTAAGAGATCCGAGGTGAAAGTGAAAGCAAAAAAGGCAGCAGCGCTTTGATAGTAGCCTACAACAGAAACTTAAAGGCACAAGCAGTCGACCAAAATCCAGTTAAAGTCAATGTGTTTGGACCGTTTTAGTCTTAACCAATCACAATGGCCTTTGTAATCAAATTATGTTCATTAGTTGCAGGAGAGGGGAACATGAGTGGTTGTTAATGCAATATTATGTAAATTAAGATTACTATAGGACCTTTGTTTTCTTCACATCAGTTGTTCAATATTGTCTTTTATTTTGAATGTGGCCTATATTTTTGGCAGGTTTGTTTGTTCCATTAATCTGCATTAGAGATATATATTGTACTGAATCCAATTCACACAAGCGGAAAATATGCAGTAAAATCGGTTTTTCGGTCTTCAGTAGGTTAATGCAAAAGTGCGCTCAAACCATTTATTGGGTTTTCCGACAGCTTTGAATGCATCACGTCTGCTCCCCCTGCAGGTCGCTGAGCTTTCTGCTTACCAAGTTCCGCTCATTCTGGCCAATCGTGTGGCGCGGTGCTTCAGCACCATTGCAGTGTGGAGAGATCATACGGAGGTGTAGCTCGCTGAGAGAGGGAACATTTGGAGGAAAGATACTCGACCTGGGTGACCGCTCTGGGAAAACACCAACCCTACTTCCCCGATACAGTCACCGCGTGACATTGCCATTAGCAGCTTCACTACGGGTGAGTGTTTATTTGCCTGATATCTGGTTAAAGGTTCAGTATTTTCCAGGTAGTCGCAGTGTAGGGGCTGCTGGTGACTTGGAACAGCATCAGCTCTGTTGGTGTGGATGTACGGTAAACCGAGGGGACTGCGGCGCTAGCGGGCTGCACGGTTCCGACAAGTGTCACCTGTGTTTAGCTAGGAACCACGGAGCGGATACTTTAGTATTGGAGCCAGCAGTCTGCTGTTTCGGCCTGGTCACGACTGGTGAAAATAAGGATGGGGATGTCCACCAGCTGCTGACTCGAGCAGGCACGCTAGCGGCATGCCATCCGTGCTAAGGTAGCTAGCGTTGACGTGCAGGTTCAGGCTGTCGTGGCAGTGTTGTAACGGACGCTAGCTATGTAGCCGTTTACTTCAGAGCTAACGGCTCTGTAGAAACAACCAGAACACATTAGCTAGCTACAATGTCAAAACAGTAGGTACAATACCACTGCCCTTTTCGTTCTGAAAATGTATACACACATCTCCACTGTTGCTCTTGAAGTTTAACTCAAACTAGATGCAGCTTGTTTACTCAAAAATAGTTTTATTTTGAAATTAGAGACGGAAGTCTTACATTTTCACCCTTGAAGTTGTATGGACAACTTTTTCTTCGATAAAAGCAGTGGTTCTCAAACTTTTTCTGTCATTCCCCACTTTGAACAGGTGGGCCTTTTCAAGCCCCACCTGTTCCTCATCGCTCCAATAAAATGGTAGGCCAAGCTTACAATTGTCAAATGTATTGTTCTATAACAGGGGTCTCCAACCTTTTTTAGGATGAGAGCTACTTTCAAAAAATAGCTACTTTTACTCCTCTTTTTTGTTTTTTTGCAGTGTATATATTTAGCACATTTTAACATTATTATATGCTACCTTTAACCTTTGTGTGCTGTTTGGGTCTGTGGGACCCGTTTTCAGTGTTTACAACAAAATAAAATGTATGCAATTTAATTATTTTAACCTGCTTTATTTGGTGGTGGACGTCACATCCTCTAGTCTAGGGTCCGGGGGCATGCACCCCCAGGAAGATGTTTTTTAAATGTTGAAGTTAAATGCATCAATCTGGTGCACTTTGAGCTAGGGCTGCTCAATTAATCGTATTTTAATCGCAATTACGATTTTGGCTTGTAACGATTATGAAAATAACATAATTGAAGTAAAACGATTTTATTTTATTCAGTTGAATTATACGTTAAAGTTCAGGGTAATCAACTGTTAAAAACATACTTTTCAAATTATTTTCTTCAATAAATTGATGTTTTCA